GCAGCTCATACACCGATATGTCTCTCTGTCTCTGTTGTTTCTTGGCATGCGGGTGGACTGCGGGTTATCAGGAAGACGCTGCAGCTCATACACCGATATGTCCCTCTGTCTCTGTTGTTTCTTGGCATGTGGGTTATCAGAAAGACGCTGCAGCTCATACGCCGATATGTCTCTCTGTCTCGCTGTTGTCTCTTGACATGCGGGTTGACTGCGGAGTTATCAGGAAGACGCTGCAGCTCATACACCGATATGTCCCTCTGTCTCTGTTGTTTCTTGGCATTTATGGGTTATCAGGAAGACGCTGCAGCTCATATATCGATATGTCTCTCTGTCTCTGTTGTTTCTTGGCATGCGGGTTGACTGCGGGTTATCAGGAAGACGCTGCAGCTCATACACCGATATGTCCCTCTGTCTCTGTTGTTTCTTGGCATGTGGGTTATCAGAAAGACGCTGCAGCTCATACGCCGATATGTCTCTCTGTCTCTGCTGTTTCTTGACATGCGGGTTGACTGCGAGTTATCAGGAAAACGCTGAAGCTTATACACCGATATGTCCCTCTGTCTCTGTTATTTCTTGGCATGCGGGTCATCAGGAAGTCGCTGCAGCTCATACACCGAAATGTCTCTCTGTCTCTGTTGTTTCTTGACATGCGGGTTGGCTGCGGGTTATCAGGAAGACGCTGCAGCTCATACACCGATATGTCTCTCTGTCTCAGTTGTTTCTTGACATGCGGGTTGACTGCGGGTTATCAGGAAGACGCTGCAGCTCATATATCGATATGTCCCTCTGTCTCTGTTGTTTCTTGACATGCGGGTGGACTGCGGGTTATCAGGAAGATGCTGCAGCTCATACACCGATATGTCCCTCTGTCTCTGTTGTTTATTGACATGCGGGTTGACTGCGGTTTATCAGGAAGACGGTGCAGCTTTTACACCGATATGTCCCTCTGTCTCTGTTGTTTCTTGGCATGTGGGTTATCAGGAAGACGCTGCAGCTCATACACCGATATGTCCCTCTGTCTCTGTTGTTTCTTGGCATGTGGGTTATCAGGAAGACGCTGCAGCTCATACACCGATATGTCTCTCTGTCTCTGTTGTTTCTTGGCATGCGACTGCTGGTTATCAAGAAGACGCGCAGCTCATACACCGATATGTCTCTCTGTCTCTGTTGTTTCTTGGCATGCGGGTTATCAGGAAGACGATGCAGCTCATACGCCGATATGTCTCTCTGTCTCTGCTGTTTCTTGACATGCGGGATGCAGTTATCAGGAAAACGCTGCAGCTCATACACCGAAATGTCTCTCTGTCTCTGTTGTTTCTTGGCATGTGCGTTATCAGGAAGACGCTGCAGCTCATACACCGATATGTCTCTCTGTCTCTGTTGTTTCTTGACATGCGAGTTATCAGGAAGACGCTGCAGCTCATACACCGATATGTCTCTCTGTCTCTGTTGTTTCTTGGCATACGGGTTGACTGCGGGTTATCAGGAAGACGCTGAAGCTCATACACCGATATGTCCCTCTGTCTCTGTTGTTTCTTGGCATGTGGGTTATCAGAAAGACGCTGCAGCTCATACGCCGATATGTCTCTCTGTCTCTGTTGTTTCTTGACATGCGGGTTGACTGCGGGTTATCAGGAAGACGCTGCAGCTCATACACCGATATGTCTCTCCGTCTCTGTTGTTTCCTGACATGCGGGTTGACTGCGGGTTATCAGGAAGACGCTGCAGCTCATATATCGATATGTCCCTCTGTCTCTGTTGTTTCTTGACATGCGGGTGGACTGCGGGTTATCAGGAAGATGCTGCAGCTCATACACCGATATGTCCCTCTGTCTCTGTTGTTTCTTGGCATGTGGGTTATCAGAAAGACGCTGCAGCTCATACGCCGATATGTCTCTCTGTCTCTGCTGTTTCTTGACATGCGGGTTGACTGCGAGTTATCAGGAAAACGCTGAAGCTTATACACCGATATGTCCCTCTTTCTCTGTTGTTTCTTGGCATATGGGTTATCAGGAAGACGCTGCAGCTCATACATCGATATGTCTCTCTGTCTCTGTTGTTTCTTGACATCGGTCTGCGGGTTATCAGGAGGACGCTGAAGCTCATACACCGATATGTCTCTCTGTCTCTGTTGTTTCTTGGCATGCGGGTTGACTGCGGGTTATCAGGAAGACGCTGAAGCTCATACACCGATATGTCCCTCTGTCTCTGTTGTTTCTTGGCATGTGGGTTATCAGAAAGACGCTGCAGCTCATACGCCGATATGTCTCTCTGTCTCTGCTCTTTCTTGACATGCGGGTTGACTGCGAGTTATCAGGAAAACGCTGAAGCTTATACACCGATATGTCCCTCTGTCTCTGTTGTTTCTTGGCATGCGGGTCATCAGGAAGTCGCTGCAGCTCATACACCGAAATGTCTCTTTGTCTCTGTTGTTTCTTGACATGCGGGTTGGCTGCGGGTTATCAGGAAGACGCTGCAGCTCATACACCGATATGTCTCTCTGTCTCTGTTGTTTCTTGACATGCGGGTTGACTGCGGGTTATCAGGAAGACGCTGCAGCTCATATATCGATATGTCCCTCTGTCTCTGTTGTTTCTTGACATGCGGGTGGACTGCGGGTTATCAGGAAGATGCTGCAGCTCATACACCGATATGTCCCTCTGTCTCTGTTGTTTATTGACATGCGGGTTGACTGCGGTTTATCAGGAAGACGCTGCAGCTTTTACACCGATATGTCCCTCTGTCTCTGTTGTTTCTTGGCATGTGGGTTATCAGGAAGACGCTGCAGCTCATGCACCGTTATGTCCCTCTGTCTCTGTTGTTTCTTGGCATGTGGGTTATCAGGAGGACGCTGCAGCTCATACACCGATATGTCTCTCTGTCTTTGTTGTTTCTTGACATGCGGGTTGACTGCTGGTTATCAAGAAGACGCGCAGCTCATACACCGATATGTCTCTCTGTCTCTGTTGTTTCTTGGCATGTGGGTTATCAGGAAGACGCTGCAGCTCACACGCCGATATGTCTCTCTGTCTCTGTTGTTTCTTGGCATATGGTTTATCAGGAAGACGCTGCAGCTCATACACCGATATGTCTCTCTGTCTCTGTTGTTTCTTGACATGCGAGTTATCAGGAAGACGCTGCAGCTCATACACCGATATGTCTCTCTGTCACTGTTGTTTCTTGGCATGCGGGTTGACTGCGGGTTATCAGGAAGACGCTGAAGCTCATACACCGATATGTCTCTCTGTCTCTGTTGTTTCTTGGCATGTGGGTTATCAGAAAGACGCTGCAGCTCATACGCCGATATGTCTCTCTGTCTCTGTTGTTTCTTGACATGCGGGTTGACTGCGGGTTATCAGGAAGACGCTGCAGCTCATACACCGATATGTCTCTCTGTCTCTGTTGTTTCTTGACATGCGGGTTGACTGCGGGTTATCAGGAAGCTGCAGCTCATACACCGATATGTCCCTCTGTCTCTGTTGTTTCTTGGCATGTGGGTTATAAGGAAGACGCTGCAGCTCATACACCGATATGTCTCTCTGTCTCAGTTGTTTCTTGGCATATGGTTTATCAGGAAGACGCTGCAGCTCATACACCGATATGTCTCTCTGTCTCTGTTGTTTCTTGGCATGTGGGTTATCAGAAAGACGCTGCAGCTCATACGCCGATATGTCTCTCTGTCTCTGTTGTTTCTTGACATGCGGGTTGACTGCGGGTTATCAGGAAGACGCTGCAGCTCATACACCGATATGTCTCTCTGTCTCTGTTGTTTCTTGACATGCGGGTTGACTGCGGGTTATCAGGAAGACGCTGCAGCTCATATATCGATATGTCCCTCTGTCTCTGTTGTTTCTTGGCATGTGGGTTATAAGGAAGACGCTGCAGCTCATACACCGATATGTCCCTCTGTCTCTGTTGTTTCTTGGCATGGCTGCGTTATCAGGAAGACGCTGCGGCTCATACACCGATATGTCCCTCTGTCTCTGTTGTTTCTTGACATGCGGGTTGTCAGGAGGACGCTGCAGCTCATACACCGATATGTCTCTCTGTCTCTGTTGTTTCTTGGCATGCGGGTTGACTGCGGGTTATCAGGAAGACGCTGAAGCTCATACACAGATATGTCCCTCTGTCTCTGTTGTTTCTTGGCATGTGGGTTATCAGAAAGACGCTGCAGCTCATACGCCGATATGTCTCTCTGTCTCTGCTGTTTCTTGACATGCGGGTTGACTGCGAGTTATCAGGAAAACGCTGAAGCTTATACACCGATATGTCCCTCTGTCTCTGTTGTTTCTTGGCATGCGAGTCATCAGGAAGTCGCTGCAGCTCATACACCGAAATGTCTCTCTGTCTCTGTTGTTTCTTGACATGCGGGTTTGCTGCGGGTTATCAGGAAGACGCTGCAGCTCATACGCCGATATGTCTCTCTGTCTCTGTTGTTTCTTGACATGCGGGTTGACTGCGGGTTATCAGGAAGACGCTGCAGCTCATATATCGATATGTCCCCCTGTCTCTGTTGTTTCTTGACATGCGGGTTGACTGCGGTTTATCAGGAAGACGCTGCAGCTTTTACACAGATATGTCCCTCTGTCTCTGTTGTTTCTTGGCATGTGGGTTATCAGGAAGACGCTGCAGCTCATACACCGTTATGTCCCTCTGTCTCTGTTGTTTCTTGGCATGTGGGTTATCAGGAGGACGCTGCAGCTCATACACCGATATGTCTCTCTGTCTCTGTTGTTTCTTGGTATGCGGGTTGACTGCGGGTTATCAGGAAGACGCTGAAGCTCATACACCGATATATCCCTCTGTCTCTGTTGTTTCTTGGCATGTGGGTTATCGGAAAGACGCTGCAGCTCATACGCCGATATGTCTCTCTGTCTCTGCTGTTTCTTGACATGCGGGTTGACTGCGAGTTATCAGGAAAACGCTGAAGCTTATACACCGATATGTTCCTCTGTCTCTGTTGTTTCTTGGCATGTGGGTCATCAGGAAGTCGCTGCAGCTCATACACCGATATGTCTCTCTGTCTCTGTTGTTTCTTGACATGCGGGTTGACTGCGGGTTATCAGGAAGACGCTGCAGCTCATACACCGATATGTCTCTCTGTCTCTGTTCTTTCTTGACATGCGGGTTGACTGCGGGTTATAAGGAAGACGCTGCAGCTCATATATCGATATGTCCCTCTGTCTCTGTTGTTCCTTGGCATGTGGGTTATCAGGAAGACGCTGCAGCTCATACACCGATATGTCCCTCTGTCTCTGTTGTTTCTTGGCATTTGGGTTATCAGGAAGACGCTGCAGCTCATACACCGATATGTCCCTCTGTCTCTGTTGTTTCTTGACATGTGGGTTATCAGGAAGACGCTGCAGCTCATACAACGATATGTCTCTCTGTTTCTGTTGTTTCTCTGCATGTGGGTTTTCAGGAAGACGCTGCAGCTCATACACCGATATGTCCCTCTGTCTCTGTTGTTTCTTGGCATGTGGGTTTTCAGGAAGACGCTGCAGCTCATACACCGATATGTCCCTCTGTCTCTGTTGTTTCTTGGCATATGGGTTATCAGGAAGACGCTGCAGCTCATACACCGATATGTCCCTCTGTCTCTGTTGTTTCTTGGCATGTGGGTTATAAGGAAGACGCTGCAGCTCATACACCGATATGTCCCTCTGTCTCTGTTGTTTCTTGGCATGCGGGTTATCAGGAAGACGCTGCGGCTCATACACCGATATGTCCCTCTGTCTCTGTTGTTTCTTGGCATGTGGGTTATCAGGAAGTCGCTGCAGCTCATGCAACGATATGTCCCTCTGTCTCTGTGTTTTCTTGGCATGCGGGTTGACTGCGGGTTATCAGGAAGACGCTGCAGCTCATACACCGATATGTCCCTCTTTCACTGTTGTTACTTGGCATGCGGGTTGACTGCGGATTATCAGGAAGACGTTGCAGCTCATACACCGATATGTCCCTCTGTCTCTGTTGTTTCTTGGCATGTTGGTTATCAGGAAGACTCTGCAGCTCATACACCGATATGTCTCTCTGTCACTGTTGTTACTTGGCATGCGGGTTGACTGCGGGTTATCAGGAAGACGCTGCAGCTCATACATCGATATGTCCCTCTGTCTCTGTTGTTTCTTGGCATGTGGGTTATCAGGAAGACGCTGCAGCTCATACACCGTTATGTCCCTCTGTCTCTGTTGTTTCTTGGCATGTGGGTTATCAGGAGGACGCTGCAGCTCATACACCGATATGTCTCTCTGTATCTGTTGTTTCTTGGCATGCGGGTTGACTGCGGGTTATCAGGAAGACGCTGCAGCTCATACACTGATATGTCCCTCTGTCTCTGTTGTTTCTTGGCATGTGGGTTATCGGAAAGACGCTGCAGCTCATACGCCGATATGTCTCTCTGTCTCTGTTGTTTCTTGACATGCGGGTTGACTGCGGGTTATCAGGAAGACGCTGAAGCTCATACACTGATATGTCTCTCTGTCTCTGCTGTTTCTTGACATGCGGGTTGACTGCGAGTTATCAGGAAAACGCTGAAGCTTATACACCGATATGTCCCTCTGTCTCTGTTGTTTCTTGGCATGTGGGTCATCAGGAAGTCGCTGCAGCTCATACACCGATATGTCTCTCTGTCTCTGTTGTTTCTTGGCATGTGGGTTATCAGAAAGACGCTGCAGCTCATACACCGATATGTCTCTCTGTCTCAGTTGTTTCTTGACATGCGGGTTGACTGCGGGTTATCAGGAAGACGCTGCAGCTCATACACCGATATGTCTCTCTGTCTCTGTTGTTTCTCGACATGCGGGTTGACTGCGGGTTATCAGGAAGACGCTGCAGCTCATATATCGATATGTCCCTCTGTCTCTGTTGTTTCTTGGCATTTGGGTTATCAGGAGGACGCTGCAGCTCATACACCGATATGTCTCTCTGTATCTGTTGTTTCTTGGCATGCGGGTTGACTGCGGGTTATCAGGAAGACGCTGAAGCTCATACACTGATATGTCTCTCTGTCTCTGCTGTTTCTTGACATGCGGGTTGACTGCGAGTTATCAGGAAAACGCTGAAGCTTATACACCGATATGTCCCTCTGTCTCTGTTGTTTCTTGGTATCTGGGTCATCAGGAAGTCGCTGCAGCTCATACACCGATATGTCTCTCTGTCTCTGTTGTTTCTTGGCATGTGGGTTATCAGAAAGACGCTGCAGCTCATACGCCGATATGTCTCTCTGTCTCTGTTGTTTCTTGACATGCGGGTTGACTGCGGGTTATCAGGAAGACGCTGCAGCTCATACACCGATATGTCTCTCTGTCTCTGTTGTTTCTCGACATGCGGGTTGACTGCGGGTTATCAGGAAGACGCTGCAGCTCATATACCGATATGTCCCTCTGTCTCTGTTGTTTCTTGGCATTTGGGTTATCAGGAAGACGCTGCAGCTCATACACCGATATGTCCCTCTGTCTCTGTTGTTTCTTGGCATGTGGGTTATCAGGAAGACGCTGCAGCTCATACACCGATATGTCTCTCTGTCTCTGTTGTTTCTTTGCATGTGGGTTATCAGGAAGACGCTGCAGCTCATACACCGATATGTCCCTCTGTCTCTGTTGTTTCTTGGCATGTGGGTTTTCAGGAAGACGCTGCAGCTCATACACCGATATGTCCCTCTGTCTCTGTTGTTTCTTGGCATATGGGTTATCAGGAAGACGCTGCAGCTCATACACCGATATGTCCCTCTGTCTCTGTTGTTTCTTGGCATGTGGGTTATAAGGAAGACGCTGCAGCTCATACACCGATATGTCCCTCTGTCTCTGTTGTTTCTTGGCATGTGGGTTATCAGGAAGACGCTGCGGCTCATACACCGATATGTCCCTCTGTCTCTGTTGTTTCTTGGCATGTGGGTTATCAGGAAGTCGCTGCAGCTCATGCAACGATATGTCCCTCTGTCTCTGTGTTTTCTTGGCATGCGGGTTGACTGCGGGTTATCAGGAAGACGCTGCAGCTCATACACCTATATGTCCCTCTGTCACTGTTGTTACTTGGCATGCGGGTTGACTGCGGGTTATCAGGAAGACGCTGCAGCTCATACACCGATATGTCCCTCTGTCTCTGTTGTTTCTTAGCATGTTGGTTATCAGGAAGACTCTGCAGCTCATACACCGATATGTCTCTCTGTCACTGTTGTTACTTGGCATGCGGGTTGACTGCGGGTTATCAGGAAGACGCTGCAGCTCATACACCGATATGTCCCTCTGTCTCTGTTGTTTCTTGGCATGTTGGTTATCAGGAAGACGCTGCAGCTCATACACAGATATGTCCCTCTGTCTCTGTTGTTTCTTGGTATGTGGGTTATCAGGAAGACGCTGCTGCTCATACACCGATATGTCCCTCTGTCTCTGTTGTTTCTTGGCATGTGGGTTATCAGGAAGACGCTGCAGCTCATACACCGATATGTTCCTGTGTCTCTGTTGTTTCTTGGCATGTGGGTTATCAGGAAGAAGCTGCAGCTTCATACGCCGATATGTCCCTCTGTCTCTGTTGTTTCTTGGCATGCGGGTTGACTGCGGGTTATCAGAAAGACGCTGCAGCTTATATACCGATATGTCCCTCTGTCTCTGTTGTTTTTTGGCATGTGGGTTATCAGGAAGACGCTGCAGCTCATACACCGATATGTCCCTCTGTCTCTGTTGTTTCTTGCGAAACCGACGCGATAATATGGAGTAGGAAAATTGTTATCGCCTGTAAATGGTTTAATATCTCAGGTTTATTATAAACGTATAAATTTTGAAACAAAAATGTCGTTTTGTTTTTTTTTATTACACTTTTAATTTTATATATATTTTTATACGTTTTAGAGCCATGCTGCAGTTATATTATTAGTATATTTGTAGCGCGAATTGGTCAGTTCGACCGGGGAAAGACCACGCTCTCACAGATTACCAGCGTAAAATAGTAGCTTAATGCTGCTGTATTTCGTATGGTGAGTGCAGAGAATCGGAGACCCTTATTACTGGAAATGAGGCATTCTCTCTTATTCCTCACGGGTGACAACGCATCTATATTGTGATTCGTAATCAAAGATAGATGTAGATATCTATGGGCTACAGTAACCAATTACCATCAGGTGTACTGTGTGCTCGTTTGTCACCCTATCCCATAAAAAATTGACGAGACCTGGTAATGATAAATATTTGAAAATTTGATGGTGATAGATTATAAAGAAGTTTGTATAGGTGATAACTGATAAAAGAGCATAATATAATTGATCTCAAGATAGATGAGTATGTCATGAATTAGAAAAATAAAAAAATGCAGATGCGTTGTCACCCCTGTTGCTATTTGACGGTGATATTCTGTGATTTCTTTGTTCTCCAGCCATAAAAAAACCGGTCGAATTCATAGTGTATTTAATTAGCCTCCCGTGCCACCAAAATCCTCACTTTAATTTATTTATTAAGTGCCCACATTCACAGCAATTAAAAGACGACAATTAAAAAATATGCATAAGTTTAAATAATTAAAGTTTCATTTAATATTTATATTAACTCAACCTTAATCTATACTTTAACAACTATTAGGCATTTATTTGAAAAAAATTAATAAATTAAAACACAAAACAATGAATTATATACTTTCAAAACGGAGTTTTTAATTAATATATATATGATATCATCTTAAATAAGTTATGTAACCGTACGTCATACTTTATTATTGCGATTAAAATGGCAATTATCAATAATTTACTTATAACACTGACAAAGAAAAACCTCCAAGACAGATAAACACACTGTCGTGACTGCTGTTAGTTACCACTAAAATTTGATATGATAAAAACGCATCTTCCCGGTCTTGTTTTATTTCAATAGCTTCTAGTCATCTGTTAAAGTACTTGATGTATGACATGAAATAGAATTAATTTTTTTTAACCATCAGTATAAGGATTAAATGAAATTGAGCCCAAACACAACAGCATTTTGTCGCAAACTGCACAATTTCGCCAAGCGTATTACTAACAAACCGTTTCCTCTTTTCCAATCCTCGAAAGCTGTCAATAGCTTTTGAAATACAAACATTCTTATTAATGACAGACGAAATTAAGTCTCAACAGTTGGAAACCAATCGATGCCGAATCGCTCGGTGAATTCGATTACTCGATGCAATCGCAATCGAATTGCATTGGAAAAAATCGTATCTGAGTAGTTTCATACGCCACCTAGCCCATTTCTTAATTGCAAAGTTATAATTTCGCGTACAAAACTCACATGTAGACCTTATTCCCTACGTATAAGCACTTAAATAGAACAATTTGTTTATGTATAAGGTTACATTGATAAGCTTGTTGTAACTGCAAAAAAATACTAGTCTTTTTGTTAGAGGCCGTTGAAGATCATTTCGTATATGAGTGCTTTAGTTAGAATAGGTTTTTTGTGAGCTCTTAAAGCTTTTTCTTGTTAAGAATCGAAAAATATAAAGTAAAATTTTCAACTTTATAATATTTTATCTTTTTTATTCTAATTATTGTAATAAACAATAAGCAGAATTCATAATAATAACTTTTACAGGATTAATTATAACGTGTCGCTGTTTTATGCCTTGGCAAAGCATCAAAGCAAAAAGCAAAAACAAGGAAATTTATCCAAATATTATATAACGACAGTCAACTCGCATCTCAAGTTATAAAATCTTATATTGAATCGTTATACACACACACACACACACACACACACACACACACACACACACACACACACACACACACACACACACACACACACACACACACACACACACACACACACACACACACACACACACACACACACACACACACACACACACACACACACACACACACACACACACACACACACACACACACACACACACACACACACACACACACACACACACACACACACACACACACACACACACACACACACATACATATATATATATATGATACTATGTCTTGGAGCTGATGTTTGTAGCCCTGGCTTCTACACAAATTTAATTAACACCTTGACACACATTTTAAATACAAGCCTATTCTTGAATAAAAAATGATGTGATGTGGTAGCTTATATTCCATAGCATATATAGCATCACTCCTGTAATCCCCGAGAGAGTACGCAGGGTTCAAAGAGCAACCAGCTACATCCAGCATGCTAGTCACACTAGTAGCACTTTTGGAACATTATTTCTTAATAAAATTTCCATATATTTTATCAAAAAATAATGTACTTGTACTTGTAAGTGTTTTTCTATTTTATACGTCCCAGACCAACATGGTATCGCCATAGATTATTAAGAAGGTCAAAATTGACACTTTCATTTTTGACACTGCACAACTAATAACTATTTCTCATATGGGTAGAGGTCAAAATAATCGTACATGACTTTAAAAAATATGTGTCCTCGACCGTTTTCAGCTTATATAAAGATTAGTTCGGGTCATATCAAGTTATAACCAATTTTGTTTTAAAGGACAATTAATTTACAGGAAAACAAGCCATTTTAGTTATGTTTAGAATATAACTATACCGAAAAAAAATATTAGCAAACTAAAGTCACTAATTTCACGTCCATACAAAATGAAAGTGTCCTATTGCGTAATGAAAATTTACATATTATAAAATAATCAATACTAGGCAATTTTTAGCAATATTATATACTGTTAAGTAAAAACTGGTGACTTAATTATTGTTTTCATTCATGTAATCGTTAATTTATTATGTCTATAATTATTTAATTACTGTTTATAATAAAATCCCAAATATCATTCCTGTGAATAACTCCAGGTAGATAACGGTGTTTTAAACGCTCCCGAAAAGAAATTCTACCATATCGCAATTATATATTATGCTAGCAACACTGTTACTCACATCTCGTGACTTTTGAGAACGCCATGTTGTCACTTCATTAAGTTTTGGTTGAAAGAGTGCGCGCACAGAAAAATTTGTCCAAAATATTCCTGTGAAAAACTAGTGAGTGAGATAAATTCTAAAGTGAATTACGCGGGTCTGGATACACAGTCTGAAATAGTGTGTTTTGGTGCTCATACAACACAGAGACATTGTTTTCAAGGTAAGATATTTGTTGTTATGACGATGCATTTTAGAGGTTATAATCCATATTTTTCCTTCCTGTGGATAACGTAACACGACTTAGGGCTAGTTCATACTGCTAATTGTTACTCACAGGATTTTATAGATTTGTGAGTAACACTTGGTAAAACGAATCAGTTTGTATAGTAAGTGCACCTGCAATCAATAACGAGTTGTTCACTTCAAACGAAAATCTCATTCATCTTCCGAACCGCTTGGTTTTGTTCGTATTTTTAACCGACTTCAAAAAAAGGAGGAATTTTAGAATTCATATTTTTTTATATATTTATATATGTATATGCATGAAATATACTGGCATCCACTTCTGGAATAATCTATTATTATTATTTTAATATTTCATGGATTGGACTTTTTGGACGTATTTGTGCATAAATTAAAACTAATTGACTTTACATGCTTACTTTTAGATGGCGCCAATGTCGAATGCTGAGAGACAAAGAAAATACCGTGAAAAAAATAAAACAAAATGCAGAAAAATACGAGGAGAAAAAAAGAAGCATAGAGAATACATGAAAGCTGCTAGAAGACCAATTGCAGAACTGACTGAAAAAGAAAAGGAAAAAAAGCGACGAGAATGGAGACTTGCCAAAAAAAAACAAAAAGAAGGTGGTGTAACAAAACCAAAGAACAACAAGTGTTGTGCGTTAAATGCACGATTATGTGAAAAATTGAAGAAGCGAATAACAGATCAAAAGAAAGTTATAGATAATATATTGCTGAAGAAACATGCTTTACAAAAAAACCTATATAGACATAAAATTAAAATTGAAGAGCTGCGCAAATTGATCTCAAATTCAGAACGAACGGAAAACAAATATTTAATAAACTCATCAGAAAGTAAAACCAACAGTGAATTTGTACCTACAGACATTAATGCACCAACTACCTCATCCGGACTGACCACAACTGACAAATCTGAAAATGAAGATTTACGTGAAAAAACTCCCATGTCTAAAACATTATCCTTTATAAATGAAAATATTCCATCCATATCCACTCCTGAAAAAAATAAAGTTAAAAAACAGATCCTGCAGCTGAATGTGATCAGTGCTTCGTTACAGACAGCATATGAAAAACATGACAATAAATCAAAACAGATCCTAAAAGACATTGTTTCATTCGAAGCAATAGAAAAATATAATCTGAAAACTGATATTTCGAAATCATTGGGACTGAAAGGGAGAGTAAGAAAATTTCAGAAAAAAGGAAAGGACATACAAAGAAGCTAAAGAAATACGTATTTTTTTCAACAGGGATGATAACACTAGAATGACAGCTGGCAAGAAAGAATGTGTTGGTAGAGGTAATGATAAATTACAGAAGCGATTCTTGCTTACTTCATTGAAGAAACTTTACACAAAATATGTAAGCGAGGGAGGAAAAGCTTCATTTTCAACTTTTAGACGAAATAGGCCAAGAAATGTGTTACGGCCAAAGTTGAGTGATAGAAACACCGTTGCATGTATAAAACACAGTAATTTAGCCTTCAAAGTTGCTCATTTAAAGAAAATTGGCGTTATAGGTACTTCCGATTTGCAAGAATTACTTGCATCGAGTGTGTGCAGCGTTGAATCGTACGACTGTATGTATTTAAATTGTGAAAAGTGTAAAGACACCAATCCTGAAATGAATTTGACAGATATTACAAACAATACAGAATGCACATGGATACAGTGGATTAGAAAGGAATTTACGTTTGAGAAGGGAATAGAAAGAAAAATTACTACTACAAAGAAATATGCTAAAGAAAGTATTAAGGGTACATTTTCAGAACTCAAAGAAATGTTTTTAGCTGATCTACGTGCATTCCGGCAGCATTTCTTTAATATAAATCATCAGCACAAAAAATATCGAGAAGTTATTGATAACCTACTACCCAATGAAGCAGCTCTAATAATAGATTTCTCAGAAAATTATTCCTGTAAATTAGGAGAAGAGATACAGGCTCTTCATTTCGGAGCATCAAAGGGCCAAATTACGATCCACACTGGCATAGCATATCTACAACAAAAAAAAGGTTCCTTTTGCTTCGCTGTCCGACTGTAACTTACATGACCCTGGAGCCATCAGAGCCCACATAGAACCTATAATTGAATTATTATTAACAAGCAATCCCGACATAGATACCATACATTTTTTCTCAGACGGTCCAAGTACGCAATATAAACAAAAAAAAAATTTTTACCAGTTTACAGAGTTATGCAAAAAGTATAAATTTACTTTTGGAACCTGGACGTTTTTCGAAGCTGCGCACGGCAAGGGTGCTGCCGATGGAGTAGGGGGTGCTGTAAAAAGACTGCTGGATCAAAAAGTGGCATGTGGAAATGATGTTAGCTGTGCCGACGATGCTGTGTCTATTTTAACTGAAGAATCATCTGTTACAATATTTTCAGTCTCTGAAATTAATATTCGGGATGCACAGAACCAGATACCGAATGACTTGGATCCAGTACCACTTACTACACGATTACATCAAATTACTTACCATGTTCCATCAACAACACTAAGGTACCGCAATGTCAGTTGTTTCTGTAAGTCATCTTTGCCAAGAGGGATTTGCGAATGCTACAACGCGAAAACTCACGTCCTGAAAAAAACTATAGTCCACAAGATAAATTGTTCAACCAATGTTAGTAAAAGGATGCGCAACAATGAGGAAGCGGGGCAATTGAATGAATGCGGAGCAGTGCTGCCAGAAATTCCCGTGGTTTCACATCGAATATCAACCAATGACATTGACGTTATACATGACGAAGGTGGAATTTTTCAATCGAAAACAAAAGCAAGTAGTTGCATCATTCGGGAAACTGCTGGAACAAAAATTGTATTGATGGCAAAAAATCAGAATTCACTTAATATTAACACTAACGTCTTGACGAATGTAAAACAAAAACCCAAGATTATATCGCAAGTTATAATTCCGCCCTCAAAATGTACCCCAAAAATTGTTACCAATAATGAAAATAAAGAAAACTTATCATCACTTAACACTAAAAACTATGACCGGCTTAAACGAAAAACGAGAAAAGAGATTAAAAGAAAAGATAAGAAGTTAAAAAAGAAAAAAAGAAGAAGATGAATCAAGCAATAGTGACATCGCTATGAGTGTCCACAGTGATTCAGACATTTGCGACGTTGCTTCTGAATCAGATAGCCTGGATATGCAAGATACAGATTTTAATATTAATAAATCAAAATCTAAAGGCTGCAAAAAAAATGTAAAAGTTAAAATTGAAAAGACTAAAACTTGCCTTATCCCAGATACTATGTTGCATCAGCCCTCTTCAAGTTCCAACTTAGAAATTGTTCCCATTGATATAAAAAAATACGATTATGTATTGGTAAGACACTTTTTTAAAAAAAAGAGTGGAATATTTTGTAGGCACAGTTTTGGAAAAACCTTTCAATGACAAGGTAAAAATATCTTTTTTTAAGAAAAGTTGGCAAACATGACAATACAAAATTTATTAAGACAAAGTCAATGGAAGTGGAGCTAATAGATTGTAAGAATATTGTAAAGACTGTAGAATTAATGTCGATCAATGAAAATGAGACTGATTTTGTATTTCTTGACGACGATGATTATATATATTTTGATTAAAGAATTACATAATTATCACTCAAGTTACCAGTTGTAATAAATATATTAAAGTTCCTTTTTAAGTAATAAAGTTCCTTTTTTTTGTTTTGTTATTTTCACCGCCAAAGTAATTGTTTTGTGTAGGTTGTAGTTTTTAAAGCATGTTTTCGGTGGTGAACTTGTTAAAAATACATTTATTGATGTTAGCAGTTGTGTCAGTCTAACAATAAATAAAAATATGTACCTATTTGTTGTTTCAATGTGAAAGCATCCTATTATTCCTGTGAGTAACATTTTCTTATCAGGTGAGTAACGTTACTACCCGGACTTCATGTGAGTTGCGGTCGATTATTTTGACTTCTACCCATATACTTTTTTGTACTGTATGTTGTTTGATTTTCTTATAAAAATAATAATTTTTTCCATTCGTAATAATATCTCAACAGTGTTCGAAACATATTTTTTTCTCTATTGTGTCTGCATTTATAATATAATCGTATAATTACGAAGAAAAGAGGAACGAAGAATCATTTACTAGTAACACAAGAGCGGCTGCGGGCCAAATTGATAATATTGTTCTAGAACAAAGCCCTATTATGTTTTTATCTATACATGCATACTTCCACTGTTTGCTGTTCGTGTTAAATCGACGCAAGCTCGCGCTCTTTAGCCACACCTCTAATATACGAGTAAATCCAACGCTAGCGTGCCCACCCAACCCTGTTTAAAGCCTCCCCGAAATAATTTAGTAACGTCACTATTCATTTAATCTGTAAATTTCGCGCTTTAAAGGTTCCAACTGGCAGTTGCATGTTTGTGTCAAAAGATTATATAACTTAAATTTTTAAAGGTAATATCAAAACAAAAGTAATGAACAAAAATTTATTATAATACTTAGTCTTGCTTAAATAGGTATTTAGTCAAAGTCATTTATGACGTCATGAAAGGGCTAGCTCGGAATTTCTCTGCAGGATAAAGTGCGTAACAGGAATATCCGCAGAACAGAGCAAGGATTAGGAAGCTGAAGTGAAGTGCGGTGGAAAAACCGACAACAAATGGAGAAGTAAGTAAGTAAGAAGGAAGTCTCCACTAAATAGAGAGATGAACTGATGAAATAGTTGATCGATGGATGCAGGTGGCTCTGTACTATACTCTATAGCAATCTATGGAAAGCCATTGTTCAGCAGTAGACTTTTTATAAGCTGCAGAGTTATTATGTAAAGTTAAGTTGTTTATCAGGACAATTAAGACTTACTGACAACAATTCAATGGGTATTATAATATATACCTATACATTGTATGACTGCCTCGTTGGTCTAGTGGTTGTATTAATGCGACTGCTAATCATGAGGTCCTGGGTGCGAATCCCGGGTCGGGCCAAAAAATCAATTATTAAGCTATTGCATAGCTTCTATCGCGGGCCTTGAGCGCGGGGACCGAATCCAGAAATTCCGTAACGAAAAAAAACCTCACGCTCCCCACTCCGACGGGCACGGAGGTGTGGCGTTGAAAGCCGTGCATCGTCTAACGTCGTTTCAGTTCGGCAGACTTCGGCACTCGGCAGACTCCGGCACGGTGTTTGTGTGTGTGCGATTAGACGTATGCGTGTACACTAGCTGCTAACTCAATGATAATTCTATATGATAGAAATTCTCAGTAGCTGCCCGGAGTCAGGAAGTTGGCGGTGTCTTACCCCCGTGCCTCGAAAAGCACGTAAAGCCGTTGATCCAGTGCCTGATGTCTCTCCGGTCATATCGGTTTACCGACCCATCGCATTATGAGAGTGAGGGAATAGAGAGTGCACCTGTGCTTGCGCATACACTTGGATACTATAATCCTGTCCTGCGCCGATGGCTAGTCTCCGTTGAGGCTGGCCGCCATTACCGAAATTCGGTCTGGAAGACATTATTATCATACATTGTATTTATATACTAGCTGCTGCCCGCGACTTCGTACCCGGATGATGTTGCTTATGCCAGCGACAACGGGGTCGTCAAAATCGAAGATCTGAAACGTCTGATGTCGAATTCTAAGAGCCCGGGGACGGGAAAACAATGTGATGCGCGAGACGATTCGAGACGTTCCAAATCTTTCAACACGAAATGCCCATCAGACTAAACAACTTTTGCTAAGAAGTCATTCCTATATATGTTATAATGTCGCTGGGCTTTGGAGTTCCACAACAGATGTTCCTGATCTTCAAACTTATTCTCACAGCAGAAAAAACTCTTTACGTGGAATATATTTCGCTATGGCACCATTTTTATATCTCTTATACTTTAGCTGGTCTGTTGCGGTTCTGCATCAGGTGTTCCATTTTCCAAAATAAATTATAGCCTATATGTTACCTAGACTTAACATCTATACAACAAAAAACTTTTCATCCCGTATATTTCCCCGATCCGGTGCGGAATGCACCGGATCCCAAGGGTACTTTTTAGCGCCCTTTAGTACACTTTTTTGCGCCAGAAACAATTGGAAAGGGCTACACTTTATGTAGGGAGGCGGAAAATGCATTACGCATACCACGATAGCCGGTCTATCGTGGTTATGAGGGACTCACTGCCTACCGGGGGGAACCTAAGTGATATCCTCTAAAACCCGCCTTTTGGGGACTGGCAACTGGCTGTTTAAGCTTCTTATGCCGTATCGGGGGCGACCTTCTTTTGGGAAAAGAGGGCGCAGGCGGATACAAGCCGCTGAGGGAGTGCCTACGAAGGCAAATTAATTATGCATAATTTAATTTAATTAGAGTTTGCCTGAGCCGCTAGGAGGCAGTTCAGGTCGTTTGACAGTTTATTAGGCGGGTCCGAGTGAGAGTTTCTCGGCCTGCGGACTCGATAGCGAGAGGGGGGTGGGGCTTCTTAAGTAGCTGTCTCACGAATGAGATGATTGGAGTGCGACTCTGAGGCTTGAAGAAGTTCTCATAGAGTTTTTTAAGAAATTGTTGAATTGTAGGGAGCTCTAGGTCCCGATGAAGGTCGGCATTACGGACGTACCAAGGTGCGTTCGCAGCTCGACGACAGAAAAGGTTTTGATCTATTTGGAGTTAATTAATAATTTTAGGGTCGGCGTGGGCAAAAATGGGGCCCGCGTAGGACATGACTGGTCGTATACAGACCTTATAAAAGGTACGCTTGTTTCTGAGGGATATTTTACTGTGTCGGCCCAACATACTGTTGAGCCTACTCAGGTAAAAACGTGCGTGACGGGTTACTCTTTTGACGTGGGGCCTGAAAGTGAGTCTTGTGTCTAGAGTGACACCTAAATATTTGGCAGACGTATGCTAGGGGACAGGGGTCCCTAACATACGTATTGGTGGAGTGTTTTTGAGACGGTGTCGTTTATAATCGAAGTGAACGGCGGAGCTCTTCTCCGGGTTCACATCGATGTGCCATTTTTTGAACCAAGCTCCTAGGTCGTTAACTGACTTTTGAACCTTGTTCCGTATGAAAGGTAGCGAGGTACCTTTACAGTAGATAGCAGTGTCGTCTGCGAAGAGGGAGAGCTAAACACCTTTCGACGGCATGGGAATGTCGTTGGTGAACAGAATGTACAGCAGAGGAGCAAGTACTGAGCCCTGAGGGACACCAGCTTTGATAGGGCGCTGTGAATATAGCGTGCCTTCGTGTCTAAAACGAAAGGTACGATGCTTTAGATAAGAGCCCACGAGATGTACTAGACGATCGGGGAGACCTATTTTGTATAGCTTGTAGATAAGGCCTGTATGCCAGACTCTTTGCCACTGACTGAAGAAGACTGCCAGAAGCTTTAGCTATGTCGAAAAAGACCGCGATGATCTTATGACAACAACGATAAAAACCGCTGAGGATATATTCCACAATACGATGAACTTGTTGGGGACATGAGTGTTTCGCTCGGAAACCGAATTGATGGGGAACGATAAGAGGGTCACCGTCTGTGGGAAACAGAGTTTGGATGACTCTTTCGAAAAGCTTGCCCATGGCCTTGAGGAGGCTAATGGGGCGATGACTGGAGGGGAGGTTGAGAGGCTTGCCTGGCTTGGGAATACCAATCATAGTTGCCTCTTTCCACGTAGTGTGAAAGTAACTAAGATTGAAGCAGGCGTTAAAGATAATAGATAAAAAGGTTAACACCTGCTCAGGAAAGTGTTTTAGGGCTTTATTGGAGATGCCATCCGCGCCCGGAGCCTTTTTGGGCTTAAGTCAGTCATCCCTTTGATGAGGGATGAAATCTCATCATTGGACACAGAGATAGGTTGGTAGGCTGTAGGGGGTGAGTTCCGGCGGCGGCCTCATCCTCCACTGCCTGGACGGGTGAGGGGTCGCCGGGTTGAGAGCTAGGAGAGCATTGTGCGGCAATGGTATCTGCAAAGCTCGCAGCTTTTTCCTCGTCCTCGAAGACAACCGTACCGTCGGGACGGGAGAGAGGGGGGAGTGTGGGTGATAGGGTCTATGCGGAGGGCTCTAGCCATCTGATAGTACGCTGTATATATATATATATATATATATATATAT